GGTGGTGATGATGGTGGTGGTGATGGTGATGGTGGTAGTGATGGTGATGGTGGTGATGATGGTTATGGTGATGGTGATGGTGGTGATGATGGTGATGGTGATGGTGGTGGTGTGCCATGGAGTCAGTTCTGACTCGTAGCAACCCTGTACAGGGTTTCTGAAGCTGTAAGTCTTTACGGGAACACAAAGTCTCAGCTTTCTCCTTTAGAACAGCTGGTAGTTTTGAACTACTGACCTTGAGGTTAGCAGCCCAACTTGTAACCACTCCACTACCTGCTGCATGGAAGGGGGAGGGAGGTGAGGACTATAGCAGGTGACAATGTCAGGGGGGTGACATCAAAATGACAGTCTATATCATGTCTGTGTGCTGTAGGATCAGCACTGGATTGCTAGCCATAAGGTCAGTGGTTCCAAGCCACCAACCTCTCCTGAGAAACCCTGTACAGGGTCCCTATGAGTAGGAACCGACTCAATGCAGCATTTCAGTAGAAATGTTTTGTTTTTTCTCACAATATCCATGTAGTTAGTTATAAGACCAAAATCATTTGTTGGAAGCCCCATTTACATGTTTCTATATACCAACAAGGCTAACACTCTGTGCATATCTACTTTGGGAACCGTCTAATGAGCTCTAACCAGAGCTGCCATTAGAACCCCAAAACAATGACCCTTCCAATCCCTGGCTTCCTCAGCACACCTACAAGCACATGCTATTGTGTTTGTTGCTGTCGATGTTCTTATGGTGGTGGTGTTCTGTAGAAGTCAGTTCCTACTCATAGCGACCCTGCAATTTTCTAACAATGGTGTGGTAATGAGTATTTCTGAGGAGTCTTGTGTGGCCCTGTTGGATAAGCACTTGACTACAAGGTTGGTTTGAACCCCAAGGCCGGAGTTTCAAACTCACCAGCTGCTCTTTGGAAACCGTATGCAGGTCGCTATGAGTCGGAACCGACTCGACAGCATATAACAACAACAGTTTGTGTGAACACATATCAATAACTTTTTTGAGGATGAACAGCAACTAAAGAAAAGAAGGAGAAACACAAAGAAAGGCCTCCACTCAGTTACTAATCATGTAACTGATAATCTTATTCAATGTAGAAAGGTTTTATAAAATCTTTTTGCTGTTGGTGTTCATATAATAGAAGAAATATCACACTTAAGTCATTTACAATGATAATAATCACTTATTATTATATGATTAGAATTGATAGTAAATGTGACTAAGGATTCCTATGGTCTACTACAGGCCCATGTGGGGTGGGGGTGGGGGAGGTGGCAGCATGACTTACGACATTGGAGGACCGTAACCGTAGTGATACCGCTGTTAACGACATTGATTTAAATAGTTAACTTGTCTTGCAATTAGGAAAGGTGGTTATCTACAAGATGTGAAAGTCACCTCAAAATGGAGAATTGGATACATGGCGCATGAGTTACCTCATGAATCTAATAAGCATGGAGGTGATTTATCTGAGGTTTGCCCAGTTAGCTGTATTGCTAAACTCTGTCCTCGTGGGCTGTGGTACCTTGTAATTTAACACATGGCACCATTGTTGTTGTTGTTAAGGGCCGTCAAGTCAGTTCCCACCCATAGTGACCCTGTATAGGGTTTCCAAGGAGCAGCTGGTGAGCTTGAACTGCCTACCTTGCGGTTCAAATGGCTTTGCAGTCTGGTGCATTAACCCACAGCACCACACCAGGACTCCACCATTAGAAGACTTATAATAATGAAGGCCACATGCCTGGAATCAGTAACCCGACATCGGATCAGATCTACTTACTCCGGGGCTCCCAAACAATCTGTTTATGTTGGATGAAGTCCAGAGAACATTAAGCCCCTTCTTCTCCCTGACAACCCTGGGTCCCTAGGCTCAGGTGTGATGGGCGTACCTTCATGATGAAGAAGAGGAGGATGATGATGACCACGTTGAGTTTCGGGTGGATCCACACGGCTGACCTGCCCAGGCTCTCAGGGTCCCCAACATGTTTGACCCACGTGTTGTTGTCAAACAGGGTACTGATGGCTTCCCGAGGCATCAGCTGGAGAGGAAGGCAGGACGGGGTTCTCCAGGACGCACGTGACCCTGTAGGAGACCACTGACCCCCAGCCTCCTAGTCCTGGGTCCCTTCTACCCTCGAGCGGAACCACGTACCCCGGGAGCCCAAGGCCTGGCTTAGTAACCCTTCCTGGCTGATCTCACCCCCTCTCCCCGTGTGCTGACCTCTCCGGCCATGAACTGGCCCATGCCCTGGGGAAAGGTGAGCGAAGCGATGACAAAGGTGACGATCCCAGGGTACAGCAGACGGCTGGAAAAGAGGCGGAGTTAATACTCCAGTGTAGCCACCCACAAGGACAGCCCGCTGGAGCGCCACCTGGCCACGAGGGGGCACATAGGGCGCGTCCTCGAGTCCCCTGTGTCCTAGGGTCTGTACATAGGGCACTTTCTCTTCAGCAAACACACATCTGGAAAGGAGTGCCCGCCAGGCCGCTTACTCACAATGTGGGGTCGCCTGTTTCCGTGCCGTCTGCTCAGGTAAAGGGGGACTACGGGAAAGAGCAGTAGTGGGGGGCAATGTGGGGGAGAGGGAGAGGGCAAAGACTCACTGCTTGGCCAGAAACTGACTCAAGATCTTGTTATTGCGGACCCCCAGCATGACCTGGCGGTGCAGGTACACGAACACAGCTCCCAAAAACCCGCAGCAGATCCTGAAGGTGAAGTGCAGGGTGAAACTCCTCCAGGGAAGAGGCCCTCTCCCACCTGACCCCAGCCAGCAAATAAATGCCAGCACATACCTGCCCTGTCCTCACCTTATGCATTCCCATACCTGTCCTGTCCCCTCTGACCTGACCCCATCTGTTCTGACCGCACCTGTCCTGACTCCACCTGTCCTGTCCCTCCTGCCCTGATCCCACCTGTCCTGACCCCACCTGTCCTGTCCCCCCCTGCCCTGATCCCACATGTCCTGACCCCACCTGTCCTGTCCCCCCTGCCCTGATCCCACCTGTCCTGTCCCCCCCTGCCCTGATTCCACCTGTCCTGTCCCCCACTGCTCTGATCCCACCTGTCCTGTCTCCCCTGCCCTGATCCCACCTGTCCTGACCCCCCCCCCGTGCCCTGATCCCACCTGTCCTGTCCCCCCTGCCCTGATCCCACCTGTCCTGTCCCCCCCTGCCCTGATCCCACCTGCCCTGAGCCCCCCTGTCCTGACCCCCTGCCCTGTCCCCACCTGTCCTGTTCCCCCTGCCCTGTCCCTGCTGTCACACACACCCAATGATGGCAAAGGCCGGGAGCTCCTGCAGGTCGAAGGGGAAGTCCATGCGGAAGTTGGTTCTGAAGAGGGCAGTGATGGTGACTGTGGGGAGATGAGGGCCAGGGAGAGCATCAGAACCCAGATGGAGTGGACTCAGGCTGAGGGCACCCCATAGCCCAGTCTCTCCTCACAAATAATGTCACTGTTCCTTTCTGAGCTGACCCCCAGAGTTGTGCTCCCTGCCTGTCACCAGAGTCCCTGTCCCACACAGCCCCCCGAGTCCCCTCCCCATTACCAGCGTCCTTGTTCCACACGGCCAGCACACGGAAGACAAAGGCGCTGAAGGTAGCTGCAAAGAATCCTCGCCAATAGTTGCGCACGGCAAAGTAAGTGGAGGTGACTTCGATGCTGAACAGCACTCCTGAGGGCAGGAGAATGGGTCAGCATGGGCCAGGGAGGGCTCCTGCCACAGCCCACCCTGCCCAGAGCAGGTGGGGACCAGGCCAATGATGTGGTCCAGCCAGACAGCGATGGACATGGGGACCCTCCACCCCAAATTACAGGGCTCAACTGGAGCTATCTCTGTGTCCCCAGGGACTATGGAGTGGGACCATTCTGCAGACAAGTTACAGCGGGGAACTTGCGAGCAGATGCCCTCGAGTCTTCAACAGAGCTGGGGGTGGCCGGAAAAAAAGCACATCTTACTGACCAAAATCAGTGCCCCTGTCCGAACATCCACAAGCATCTTTTCAATAACCACCAAAAAGATGAGCCAGCCTTGTTCATCTTTTACTTCACACATGACGTACGACAGGATGACGACAACCGCACCTGCCTTGTTCCACTGGTGAACACTGTCTCTGATGGGCAGTGTCTGGTCTTCATTCAGCAGAGCAAGCTCACATGGTCTGCCTGGACTCTACCCAAACCCAAACCACTGCCTTGAGTCCATTCCCACTCACGGCGACATGACAGGACAGAGTAGAACTGCCCCACAGTGTTCCCAAGGCTGCCATCTCTACAGACACAGACGACTCCCTCTTTCTCTTGAGGAGCAGCTGGTGGGTTTGAACCACTGACCTTCTGGTTCGCAGCTGAGCACTTAACACTCTGCACCACCTTGACCCTGGAGGCTCTCAGATCCGAATTAGTTTTAAATTGTTGAGTTATCTCTCACAATGCTTGGTGGTGCCCACATGCCCCGATGCCCCTCAACACCCCCTGCCTGCACCCCACACACCAGTGCCCCAGGCAGCATCCTCAGGAGAGACAAAATCAATGGGCAGGGGCTGACAACACTCAGTGTTCCCAGGAAAGACAGCAGAGACCTCGGCCAAAGAAAACTTAAAAGAGTACCAGGCGCTGAGGGAGAGAAGTCTGGACACCAGATGGGTGTGGGAAGGAGGCCTGGTCCCCATTCCCAGTGCGTTGCTTCTGAGGGAAACCAGGGAGGAGACAGGTGGACAGAAAAACACCCAGGGCGAGCAGGACAAAGTGAAGAACGCTACAAAGAGGGCAGACATCATGGCTTCGGGGAAGAAAAGAAAGCATTTCGGAAACAAAAGTAAAGACTAAAAACAACAGGGCCACTTTGTTGGCGGTGTGCCTTCAAGGTGGTTCGGACTCATAGTGATCCTGTATAGGGGTTTTGGAGGCTGTAAGTGTTTAGGGGAGCAGAAAGCTTCATCATTCTCCCAAGGAGCAGCTGGTGGACTCAAACTGGTGACTTTGCAGTTAGCAGTCCAACACATTACCCACTACGCCAACAATGCTCCTTCCACTTTGATTGGAGACAAAGAAAAACTGATGTCAAAATGACCGAAACCTCATCTTTCTAAAAAACAAGGAGGTGGACGACCTGACCCGGAACGGCTCTGAACTAGGCTGGGCATCTCCAGCACCCGCCTCACCCCTGGTGACCAGGTGCTGCCCAGGACTCCTGATGACTCCTCATCATGGTGAGGTGGCATGTCCTCGGGCCACCTGCTGACCCCGATCTAGACCCAGAGTCCCTGTGGTGTAAACAGTGAACTCACACTGCTCATCGCAAGGTTGTAGGATCGAGGCCATGAAAGAAAGGCCTGGTGATCTAATTCCCAAAACTCAGCCACTGAGAACCCTGTGGGCGCAGTTCTCCTCTGACCACTCGGGGGCGCTGTGACTGGAATCTACTTATGAAAACTCAGCCACTGA